GGGGGGGGGGGGGCAGTATGGAGTGCAGGCCAGAACTCCCCCCCCCTCCCTTTTCCCCTGCCGTCCCCATACAGAAATAAGCGGCACAAGGAAGGAAGGCGGTTCCCGTTCGGAACGCTTTTAACGCAGTGAGAATTGGTTTGTCGGTGGTCTGTTCCCGCGGCCCTAAAGGCCCCCGCCGGCTGCGCCTGCGGTTGGGCCAGCGCGGCCAGCGGCAGCGTGGGGGTCTCGCAGCCGCCGGGCATCGGTGCACCACTACGGTGTTCCAGGCCAGCCAAAACGGAAGTAGGAAAAGAACAAACTCGCTGACTTCTCTGTTTCCGTAATGGATCTGATTGGTCGAGCTGATCACGTGCGACTACGGTCTTTCAGGGATGAAAATCTGTAAGATATGAGTTTCGAGCTCCCCTGAATATATGAGTTATGGGGTTATAGAATCAGACCAAACTACCATGGTAATTTCTCATACTGAACAGAGGGAAACCGGTAGATTAGTGTGTTCTCTTTTACTTCCGTTTTTGATAGCCTGGAACACCCTATTCGGACGGGCTGCAGGAGGGCCGCTGCAGGTGCCGAGGCGCGGCGGGGCGGGGTGGGGTGGGGCGCGGCGGGTCGAACTGGTGGTGTGGTGGCCCAGCCCCGGCCCAGCCCTGGCCGGCCCAGCCCTGGCACAGGCCGGTCGTTGGGCCCCTCGTGCGCCACCATGCTGTGAGGAGCCAGTCGTGTCCTGTCCAGTCCACCGGGCGAAGCCCCCGCGGGCCCGGAGCAGCAGGGAGAGATGGAGGAGGGAGGGAGGAGGGAGGGAGGAGGGAGGGGAAGCGGCCAACTTACGTTACAAATCAACCGACAGTTGAAGAAACGGCCGGGCGGTCACCCACCGTCACCCACCACGCCGCGCCGCGCCGCGCCCCGTGAGGACACCCCGTGATGTAGGGGTGTCTGGACAGGGCACATCGGCCCTCTCAGCAGCCGTTCGCCGCTCCCTCCGGACGCACCGGGTGTTTCGGTGCACGCGCACCGGGTTACTCCCGGCCAAGCACCATGGCGCCTAACTGGCAAGAGGGAAACAAACATTACCGGCAAAACGGGCATTACGAATCATGTCGCTTCAGCACGCAAATATGAACATTTTCTGAAAAAGGCTCAGAGCGTTTAAATCTCCTTCAAAATCTTGGCATTGACGCCATCCATTCATAGTCGACATCATTCATCCGTTCAGCCACTCTCTGTTTCTCTGAAGCAAGCTGATAAAGTATTATTTATATTGTCTGGCACGACTGCAAAAATTCGAGGCAAAATTGTCCCCTTGAATCGGCCGGTTTGGAGTCCATTAGGAAATGTCTGATTACTTAGTTGTTGTTTTTTCCCGTGTGGCATCAGCATTGTGTGTGGCATACCGGGAAACAGGAGAAATGCCACTTGAAACCTGCTCCCTGCCCCCCTCCCCCATGCCGAGGCTTGGCGCCGTCATGAGATCCCATGACGACTCCCTTCCCTTGCTGCGTTGTTACGCGATGTATTCGTGGGAAATGATTAAAGGGGGGGGGGGTAAACGTTGTAACCCTTGTTGAAGTTGAAGTGGAGTCATGAGCGGGCGGCTCGTCCACGTTCGTGCATGTGCATGCGACCACTCTAAAGACAACTGAACACAGCCCTGCCCCTCGCGGAACGCGACCCCGGGCCCCGCGGCCGCGACCCGGGTGTGCCGTTTGACATCTGACATTTTGTCGCCAGGCCGCCGTAAGTGTGCGTATGCGGTCGGGTAAGAGCGAGAGAGAAGGGGGGGGGGGAGTGCGTGAGAGAGGGGTGCTGCGGAGGGAGAGAGAAAGAGAGGTCATTCAACAAGGAAATAAACGAGCTTTTGCGGCTTTTGCTCGTGGGTGGCGTTGGGAGGGTGCTCGGGCACGCACACGTACCCGACGTACTACTCGGCCATAACTTGTTTCAAACGTCAGCGCGCGAGACTCGCGGAACGCAACGGCCGGGCTTATGGAAAGATATAACGGGCCTTATTGGAATGGACGAGCGACAACTATCGGCCGTCGTACTATCGACTCCCCGCCCTCCAAACACACGACTGCTCGCGGCCCTCTTCACTCGCGCGGTTTTACCTAGTTTGTTCTTGCTCCTCTGCCGTGATTGAGGATGTGAGGAGGACGTGTTTCGTACGAATATCAGTAAGCGCCGCACGACTTCTCGCTGTGTACGCCCAGTGTGTGCCAGCCTGTTGCTGGAGCCGGACGGCCCGCGCTGGCAGGCAGGCATGCCGGCCGGGGGCTCTGGAGTCCTGCTGCGCTGCTGCGGCCGCGGCTGCCAGCTCGCCGAGCTCGCCCCCATTCCTTGCCTTCTCCAGCCGCTCCGGGCGGGCAGCCGCAGCCGCTCTGGCAGCCGCGCCTCGCTTTCCCAGCAGCCCGAGCTGCGGCAGCAGCAGCGGCGGGCTGGAGTGCAGAAGGGCCTGGCTGGCCCCGAGTGCAGCGCCCGGGGGCCGCCTGCTGCGGTGCAGCTGCTGCAGCTGAACTCACTCACCTGCAGCTGGTGGTGCTGGTGGCCCGGGAGCCGGTGGCGGCGCGGGCCTGGTGCTGCGGGGAGCCGGGCTGGGCCGCAGCTGGTGGAGGTGGTGCTGCTGCTGCTGCAGGTCGTGGTGCCCCAGGTTGGCGGCGGCTGCGTCCGGCCAGCCATGGCCGCGCCCAGCACCGGGGCGAGCAGCGGCGGGGCGGCTAATCGCAGGCCGCCAGGGTGGTGCGGGAGGGGCGCGGGCTGCCGATGACACCGCGCGCCGCGCCGCACCGCGCCATGCAGTCCGCCCTCAAGGCCTCCACGGCCCACACACACACACACAGACTCACACGCACGGCACACGCACACTCGCACGCGAACGCACACACACACGGAATGAACACCGCGCAGCACGCCGCACGGCTACTGACTGACTCGCGGCCGCGGCTCGGCTCTGCTCTCGGCCGTGGCCCCTCTCCTCAGGTTCCTCTCCTCTGCTCTGCCCCTCCAGCATGCTACCTCCAGCCCCCCCCC